TCTGACTCTAAAGCCCAGCTCTTTCCTCTTTATCATCCACCAAAGACTTGTCTTCTTTAAAGGGAATGTTTGTTCAATAATTAAAGCTATTTCTTCCTTCTACCATTATCAATTAAAAATAAAAACATCAAAATGTACTAGAAATGAAAAAGGATAAAAACTGATGAGCCCACAGTATCTGGTCATAGTTACTCTCTTAGTCATACTCACTTAGAACCTAATAACATCAGTATCCTTCAAAGAAAGCAATTTAAAGCAGAGTCATCCAAAAAGCAAAACAAACTCTTCTTTGTTTAATATGCATCTTTTAAGAAAAAAATATATACCAAGAAGAGGTTAAAACAAATTAGAAAAGAATGAAGAAATTCAACACTGTCTCATAAGGTAAATTAAAATTAAGAGTCCATACTAATAAACTAAAATGAAACCCCTGAACTATTGTGAGATCGTATGACCAAAAAAATCAGGTTGCAAATGACATCAGTCACTATCATAAAGGAAGATGAATCCTGCTGCATACTGCTCTTTGTGACACCCAGGCAGAATAATTGCTTTTCTACCTAACTGATGATGTGTTGATTCTAAGTTAATCCTCTTCTTATTAAGTTAATCTTTCTGATTGGCTGTTACTACTTTAGAACAACATTAAGATTTAAAATAAAAAAGAGAGAGAGAGAGCACGCTATTGTACCTTTGCAGCTTGTCGACTGCATGTATATTTGCCCCGTTCTCTATCAAAAATTTGGCCATTTCTTCTCTGTTCTCCCTGATGGCGAGTAGAAGTGGTGTGTATTTATACTATAAAATAGTAAAAACAGTTGACAATGTGTAAAATTACATAGAAATTTCAAAACTGAGTTTAAAAACTTAAGTCTCTGAACTTAAACATACACTATTAACTAAATAAAAAGTAGCCCCTTCCTCCTTGCCCCTCTGTGCTCCTTCTCTTTAAAAGGTTCCTCCTTAACCTCCTCGAAAGTTTCCCTGTGAAGTTATTCTCTGAAACTCACTTCAGACATTTGCTGGTTCCAAGAACCTACGCTTCTATCGCAGTATCAGGCATTCTCTAGTTACCTTACTGCTCAACTACTACTCCCGACACTCTAAACACTGCTCTAGAGAGAGCCATTCAGCTACTGAATCAACTACATTTCTAAGGAGCCACACTGAGGAGAAAGATACCATACTATCTGCAACATGCATAACCTATCCAATTACAACTACGACTAATCTCATAAAGCTTGCAGACATTCCAATGGGACTATGACAATTTTCATGTAAAGAAAAAGTTTTTCTTTAACCAACTTACAAATTCTAATTTGAAAACTTCCATCCCACTCTTAAGGGATTATTATAAAATATGAAGTAGACTATAAATTAATATAGACTGTCTTTAAAATCTTGAAATATATATCAAAATATACCACAGGAATTGTAAATTCAAATGCTTACAGAGGCAACATAGGTGGCCCGAGTAAGTCAAGGTCACAAGTGAGGACAGCAAACTGGAGAACACACGCCCCACCGAGAAGGGGCCACCTCTGCAGAGCAGACCACATGGGAGCCTGGGCTCAAGGGGGACAAGATTTGATTCTTTAGGAGAAGTTCTGAAATGTAGATTTCGGCACAAGTCTCCTAAATTTGAAATGTTGACTCAATGTGTGGAGACAAACCAAACATATCCAGGGCCACGTTTAGTCTATAGCCCACTTGTGTTTTTATGTTTGCTGTGCTTCCAAACAGTTGGGTATAAATCAAGTATTTGTATGTAAAACTTTGCCTTTCTTTAGAATCATACGTCTTACACACAAAAACACTGGGCCCAACATGTAATAAAAATTGTGATTAAGACACATAATACCCACTTCAAGAATTTTTCCAATGCCTACTAAAACTACAATCTATCTGTATCGAATTCTCCATGATTGTTAATCAAATGGATAATTAGGATTAGGAGGTATAAACAATCAGGCATAAAGTAAGGTACAAGGATGTATTGCACAACATGGGGAATAGAGCCAATAGTTTATAATAACCATAAGTGGAGCCTAACCCTTAAAAATTTGTGAAATACTCAACTGTATACCTGTAACATATAATATAGTACATCGACTATACCTCAATTAAAAAAATATACTGTAAAATAAATACATTTAAAAAAGGCTCATAATACCCGCTTCAAGAATTTTTCCAGTGCCTACTAAAACTACAATCTACCTGTATCTAATTCTCCCCAATTGTTAATCAAATGGATAATTAGTTCATGAGATGGCTGAAACTAAATTATTAAAACAATTCCAATTTGTTACTAATGTCATGGGT